ATAAAAATTTATACTTCAAAATTTGCAAAATTAAAATAAACCTAATACATACAGTGCATCATACTTGTAGATTCATGTCTAGTTTAAAACAAATGCAGTAGACATTTATTTTGACCAGAAAATGTAAATTAATGTATCATCGTTCCTGGACCAAATGTTTTTTTGCATCATTTTGGTTCAGAGAGATTGATTAAGACGAGATTAAAACAATGACTACTAGATCGGATAATCCGTCAATTTAGTTAATAATTTATCATGGGTAAATGTATGTATTAATAAAAAACATCAACGGTTTTTTTAATCAAATGGCCCATAGCCCAGATACTTATAAACTTTGTATCAAGCCTAGAGTTTTTGATTGCCATGGATTTACATAATACTTTGTGTATGTTTGTGGGTTTGCATGTGAATACTAGCTTTACTCAATCCATACTGCCAGCTTATGGACAGAAACAGCCATATACCCGTCATGAGTGAGATAAATAAATAATGCCCACGCCATTGCTCTGTTTCTCGCTTAAACAAATTCTGTGTAAAGTTGATTTATGAACTGGTCTGAAAGACGTGTGCTTCGATTGACATACAATCGTTAAACAAAAATCCATAGTTTTGTAAATATGTACAGCAATGAGAGGCCTTCATTCAGGGGTTGGATTGACAAAGGGCTGTAAAGTTATTTTGGTATTACACTTTTATTCATGGATTATTTTAGTCAGCGGTGCGACTTTAGGAACACGTTCATAATTGGGACGTGTATTTTCCAACTGCTTAGCACTACGGTACATAATAAATATGTTTTTTTTCTCGCCAAGTTGACATACCCACATTTAGCAAAAATAATGCATTGCAAGTCGATTTAATGTGTTGCGGTTTTAGAGCATAAGTGCAAAACACATCCCACACAATCAGCTATTCTGGCATGAAACAATACATGGGATTGCCTCAAGATACAAAGTGATAATGGTCTTGTCCCCCCCCCCCCCCCCCTGCTCATTTCGCTCCTGTGCCATTTTCATCGACTTTGCTCTAGCGTAGCGTGGAAGTCATTTCACAAGACCACACCGATAAACTGCTGTTATGGCAACGGCGGTTCTGAAACATTAGCCACGAACATAAAACCTCACGACCTTGAAGGAGCAGCTCGCCAAACTGTGTTTTTTTTTTAAACCGAGATTCAAATATAATCATTAATGGGGGGGGGAGAGAGACACTCATATTTTGGTTAATTTAATTTTAATTTCGTCCGTAATGCTTCCCTATTTTACAAATTACACTGCAGAATAAAATTAGATGTTATCAAGAGCGGAAGGGAAGACGGATGTCGAATATCTTCCCCGTTGTGCACACTAATTGGCATCTTTTTTGCAAATCTTCCAGCTACTGATGTGGACAATTCCGGTCACTGCAGGGCCATGTGAAGGGCACGTCTTAGTGGTCCCAACATACCAGATTTGAATACCAAACAACGTTAGAGAGCCAAAGAGGCTTGTTGAGAAGGGAGCTTTAATTAATGTGTTCGCGTATGTGTCTTTGTATATGGGTGGGGAGCGGTAGTGTAGTGGTTAGCACGCTGCGCTCAGAACCCAGGAACCCGAAGTTCGATTCCCGTTCACGGCCAACACCAGTGACGATTGTCTGAACTGGTGCTGGGCCTCCCCTAGGTCGACTCAGCCTCAAATGAGTACCGGTGTGGTGTGTAAACGTCAGCACTGGGGAGAGAACGGACGTGGTTCTGGCCACCCACCCCACCGTGTGCCTTGATGATCTTCATATGTGCTCGCTAACAGCACTTGCCCCAAAATTCGGTCGAGGCTAACAGGGGCGATCTTTTTTCTTTGTATATAGGCTACTATATACAGTTTAACACGTAGGCTTTCGCGACCAATATCATCCATAAAAGATAAGTAATACAAGTTTATGGAACATTGGTTACCACAACATTGACGCTACCGCAGTCTGTTGGTGTGTATTGTAATAACATGAATTGCTTAGCAGCAGCCAATCAGGGTTGACATAATTGAACGCTATTACAACACACTATCTCCCTTCTCGTCAAGCACACGTGGCACGTATCAGTGGCTAACCCAACCTTGGTTAGGTTGGTGAGATTTATTCAATTTAATAATTTGTGTACCTCGGAAAATCCTCGCTGAATCTTGTGAATTTTTCAGGAGGGTTCTTCTTGGCATGTTTTGGCAGATTTAAATTTCTAGCATTTTTTTATGTGCAGGAGGAAACCGTAATCCCTGAAGAAACCCCACACAAGAGAGGAGAACACACCCACATATTTTACGTGTTATTGTATTATGCACTCCAGTTTATACAATGTTATTTGAAGCCTTTTACGTGGTTAAAGGTGATGTGTGCTGCCTATGAGAGGTGCTTTGCTCAATCGTTGTACTGTATCATTGCTTATTAATTGCGTTGGTGCTTCAAAACGTGTTTTTTACTTGCGTGGCACGCGATATCAAGGAGTAAATTATGATGACCAATAGCTTCCTAAAGGTCGCTCGCTGGGTGTCTCATCCCAATAACCTGTGTGTAACCCACCAACCCCTTACTCCAAAGTGCTCGTTACAAATGCGCACCACCTAATGGCGGTTTTTTTGTTTGCTTATTAATTTTAAATTGAACCTTAGCTGGAGCCTGATCTTGTTTACATCACTCTGTGTTTCGTTTATGCTCATTCAACCTCCCCCCCCCCCATGTTTTTAGCCTCATGTCACCCCTTATTAAGTCTGCTCTTGTTCAGCATACGTCGATATAATGTTGAGAAGTTTGAACAAATTGTGCATAATTCATGCGACTGGTTACCATGGCCTACAAGTGGCAGTTTGAAACAACGAGAGGCCCGTGGAGGGCGGAGAGACATTGTGGGCCACAAGCGCCGCACGGGATCCCAAAGCAGAGTCCAGGTTGAGGACAAGGAGTGCGATGAATTCGATTTTGTTACGTAGATATTTACAGCTGTGTCGTATTGCCTCCGTGGTGTGTTTTATGATGTTACATTGGAGAACTGTGAATACAGTTTTGGTTTATGGCCGAATGTGTAGATTGTATTCCTTCAAGCCCAAGCAACATGCTAGCACATACTGCAACTTATAAGTCATCCAGGGTTTACAGCATTGAAAATTCATGCAAAAAAATTAGATATTAAAAAAAAATGTATGCATAATACATTCATGACAGGCACCATCGAACGGTTGATTCAATTGAATAGTTCTGAGCGATTCTGCTAGTTGTTCTGAATTGTCATGGTATTGGTTTTCGATATTAACTTTCAGGGTAAGATATGTTCAACTGAATTGACATAACTGAGATAGAAAAAAAGTCTCATGAATGCGTGTGAACTGACAAGAGTCAGTTTGACACTCGAACAGAAGCCACGTGCGTTCGGTATCTATCCATCGACCGGTGGCACGGAGGTCTTGTAAGGACACCGCTCACGGAAGCAAAATCAGTTCTCACTCTACAGTCGACAGGTAATCGCCGTTTAATGCACGGTAACGGACCACAAGTGACAACGTTTAAAACTAACATTATTGCAATAGGTAGTTTATTCAATAAAGCACTCTACAATTGTAGTTTGTTCTCCTTCCCCCGCACGGTTGGCTACGTACGGTGTGAAATAAGCTCAATATACATTTTGCTTCATGACACTTTGGAAAACGGTTGTGGTCATATTTTTCGATTTAAAGTATTTGTGACTACATGACTGATCATGTTTCAGGTAATTTGCTGTGCCAAGTCAACAGGTACAGTCCGTGGCGAAAGAAGTTAAACATGCGTACGTACGTACGTACATGCGTGCCTGTATCGATTGAATGCACAATTATTTTAGGCGTTAAATATTTGAGCTAATGTTTGAAAACTTACGCACAATTAACATACGGCTCTATTTTTATTTCATATTTGACGCAGCGAACGTGTATACGTGTGACGCCATCTCTATGTGATGTGTGAAGTAAATTGTGAGATTTTCATGATAAATCGAAAGGAAATATGCACTTTGCGCAGAGGGAGGCTGATTCATCTGGGCCAAACTGCTGCAAGGAAACATTTATCATAAGGATAACCGTAACAGTATACTGTACTATACAGCTTGAATGAGGCGGTAATAACGTGTGCAGCATATTCTGATATAGCTGATAAAATATGTATTACATTACTCAAATGCCCTTCTGTATGCTATGTTGAATATTTCCCTCACTCCAAAGCTGCGTTATATGGCACGCTGTTCGTATATCGGTGGAAAGAAGGATTCTCAATGTCTGTTCATAACTCATTGATAGGAAAGTGACACCCTGCAGTGATGAACAAATACTGCGATTTGCACGAGGAACTGAAGAAAGTGCTCATTTGTTAATGACAAAAAAAGTTCAGGCAGCTTCCACCAGAATTGTTATTTCTTTTTTCAATTTGTAAACAGAAGCTTATAATCATGGCGTTTTTACAACATTCTGTACAGTGGAAAAAAACTACACGTGAAATTAAGCATACTAAGATGTGTTAGTTCATCGAATAAAAAGTATTATTATGCTCACAATACTTATTATGCAAAGTATATAACGTATGTTACTTTGGATATCAAAAATGGAGAAACACTACAAATGGTATGAAAAATGTAAATACAAATGAGACAAACATTTTATTATTGAATTGTAACTGAATCGTGACAATTCCTTGAATCACTGGAGGGGTGAATTTATTACGTGTGCAGTGACATAGAATCGGTCACTTAGAAGCAGAGCGCTGGTTGCTGGCAAGGAAGGGGATCTGCAGCGACAGCAGCCCTGAGTGACAGCAGGCCACGTGATAGACCAGAGAGAGGGATGTAGGGGGAAATGTCACAGAAGGGGCACATCGAGAACCCGCTGGTAGGTTCCAGAAGGGGGCGTGGCCGGGGCGGAGCCAGGCCACGCCCCCCAGTATAAGAGGGGCCCCGGGAGGGGACCTCGGGGCTGTCGTTTGGAGTGGGGTCCCGTCGTGCTGCTGCTGGAGTCTTCACCGTCGTCTCTGTCTTCACCATCTCGGCGTCGCCAATCAGGCAGTCTGCCAGCTGTCCTGACTATGAACCGTAGTCGCTAAAGTGTGAACTGTTAGGCCGTGTTAATAAACACAGTGCCTCCTACTCTTAGTGTCTCTGAGTCAATCACTACACGTGTCAAATGAATACACTCTCATTCTATTCCTCTCTCAAATATCTAATCGAGTACTTGAAGTGATTGTTTAACGTGAGTGTTCCGCACACATGCGTTTTTAGGTACTGGAGGTCATTTAGTAAAACAGCCGGCACGAATAAAAATGAGAAGAGTGCCTTCTGGTTAGTGAACGGGTTTACATCACTGCCAATGTGCAACGGACGCCAGAAAACTGTGTGTAGAACTCGGGCAATTGGGTATGTGGCGATTGCCTAAACAGCCGCAGAAAAATATTGACAGTGGCCATCATGGGTGATTGATCGAAATGAGTTTTGCAGCAAAATAAATAAACAATGGGAACATATTTCAGCAGATGCGCACGCTCGCAGGCATATGGATTTTTCGGCCATTACAATTGGCACTCGACACAACCCACGGTGCGATTGCATTGGGCCTTCCCGCTGCGGCCCACAGGCGATTTGCGCCAAGGTAATTATTCCCTCGCCGGACGGAAGCGAAAGAGATTTGTACGCGATGGCGACCCACGCTCCCCCGACATTCACATTGATTCCAATTCGTCTCTTGAACACGCTGTTCTGTTCCCAGGGCAAAGCCACGGCGGGTGAGCGCGTGAGTGTTGGGGCCGTTTCCATCTCGGCTGTGTCCTCGCGCTGTTGGCAAGGTCAATTAAATTAAGTGTTTGTGCATTAAGCTAAAAAGGTTAGGAGGTTGATGCATGCGTGGACGAGCAGATGAGTGCATTTGGTTTGTGTGCCGTGCGTACGTATGTATCGTCAGCCATCGTGCCACTTTACTCTTTGTTTATATTTCTGTGTGTTGATATCCACGGTTGCTGAGAAATTACCGTGGCTCTAAACTGCGCGTACCGTGTGTACGTACGGCCCTTTTGTCAACCGTGCCTCACACTGGAATTGCATGTAAGAGATAGGTGCATATTACATCGTCTCCCCCATTTAGAAACATGGAGGATTAGTAGCCTTGGATGGAAATTCCTTTCAATTAAGCATTCCATTATGTGGAATGTAGTCCACTTTAATCTGGATGATAGTGGGGTTTTAATGTTGCAGAGCGCACGCCGTTTTGTCTCCAACAATGCATTTGTTTAATCTCTCCCGTTCAGTATTTCATTGTAAACTCCGTTTTCAGGTGTTCTTACCATGTTATGTATACTCATGGCCAACAAAGCGTCTTGGTGTACCATCGAGGTTGTCTCTCTTCTAGAAGAGCTATAACGATTGACTGCCACTATACGGAATTTAATCCAGTGGTAAGTATGCTGCATTTTACAAAACAAACTAAAACACCACTCTTACTGCGACATCGTTTCATATGCACAAAATACCATAACCCGCTTGCTATGGTTGGCCCATGGTACACACTACTGTGTACTCTTGGGTTCTTTCAGTAATTCACGTAGGTAGAAATAAAACAAAATAAATCACGACGTTTCGATAGCAACACAAGACTGACATTAACTTGGCTAATTTTTTCATTAACTTTTACATGCTTCTCTCATCAAAATACATATGCTAATCCTACGTACATGCTAATCTGAGCTCTTATGCGCTACGGAAGCTCATTAACTTTGTACTATAATCCAACATGCTAATCTAAGTTCATTTCCTTTAACATGCCACGCTATTTATTACCTTTACACTATAATACCCCATTAACACTACTCCGGCTTCCTTTGCTCTCAAAAACGTATATAAACTCTTGCTGGTTAACAGCTTCTCTTCACAAGGCAGCAGACATCGCGGCTGTCGCGATTTTCACCTGAAGACGATGGCTTGTGTTGTTATCGAAACGTGATTTATTTTGTTTTGTGTCTACCTACGTGACTTACCGAAAGAACCAAAGAGTATGGATTCCTGCAGTCACGAAAGCTTCAAATCAACACGGCAGTGTTTCAAAGGGCTTATCTGGAAGAATGCCTTCGACAGTTGCTCGTTGAGTTATCGCTCATTGAAGCGTACACTTCCATGGATATATACAGTGTATGTACAGCGCTTTAATCAACTCATTGCTGGATGGGAGCCACCCCACGCCGTGCGGGCCTTGATGGGTTTGCGGCTCGTGGGAGTCATTTTGCCATCCTTCATCTCGCTGGCCGGTGGAGTTTTGTGAACACGATAGACGTCCGAGCATAATGTAGTACAACAGTGGATTTGGCTACACTGCTTCTGCCTACAAGGCAACACTGGAGGGATATTCTACTGCGCGTGCTTTATGCGTGTTGATGGCCCATACAAGCACTATATTTTTTTAAAAAAATGCTTTATTCGTAGTAAAAAAAAACGACGAGCGAAAGACAAACAGTTGCAAATAGAAAAGGAAGTAAAAAAAGGTGTGCAGGTGAGGTTGGAAACCCAAGAGAGATTATGTATATACATCGTATATGCAAAACTAATTGATTTATAAATCAAACAAAGCATAATTATTACAATTAAACATGTTGCACTACAGCACTATCCAGGCTCAACCTTCTTAGCTTCTGAATACAGAATGACCAACGCATGCAAGAACGTGCTTTATCTCGTCGGATTCTGAAAGAAAATGGCAATGTCACTTAGTTATTTTCCTTCCCCTCGAGACTGGATGAGGCAATGGACCATCATAGTGTGAGCCGTTGGAAGGCGTTTCCATCTCTGTGGTGTAGAAAGCCAGCAGGACATATCACGGGCAAGAAGAAGGAAGAACAACGCATAACTGCTGCCCAAAAAATGAAAACTGAGACTACAGTGTGAATGTGTCGTGTAGTTATTCTTGGTTCTTTCGGTAAAGTCACGTAGAAGGGAAACAATAAAATAATAAATATGTAAAAAAATATTTTGTTTTAGAACAAAGAATATGAATCCCTGCAGTCACGAAAGCTTTAAATCAAAATTTCGTGTTGTTGTTATCAGAAGACTTACATATTTCTCAGGACAGCCACTTCGCAAAGAGGGCGATCCTGGTAAGACCAGGGACAGGTGGCAACCGTATCTGTTGGTATTCTTCATCAGCTTATCCGGTGTCGGAGCACTCGAGGTCTGAAGTGGAAATCTGTGCCCCGAACAGGATTTTCTCAGCTCAGGCTTTCGGATATGCGTTTGTGCTCGATTAACTCTGAAGAAAGAAAAAAACGCATCCTGCAAAAAAACCCCAACTAATTGTGTCAGCTGCCTGTACTCTTTACTTGTCAGTTCCCGAGACGAGTACCTTGAGTTACATGTGGCCCATATAAGCGTTGTCCTAGGCTTTCGAAATTTGTTAGGAAATGCTCCTGCAACTTTAGTTTGATATTTTTTATGGTAACATTAATAACTGTTTTACATTTTGATTTAAAGCTTTCGTGACTGTAATTCATATTCTTAGTTTTTTCGGTAAAGTCACGTTGAAGAGAAACAACAAAATAATAAAATATATATAAAACAATAAAAAAAATTCTCACGACGTTTCGACCATAACTCAAACGGTCATCTTCAGGTGTGTTGGTTTGCATAAATTTTCATGGAGAAATTTGAGACTGACGCCATCCAGACTGCCACTCTGCGCCCAACCTTATGGAAAAGGTACGTGGATGACACTTTTGTCATCTGGCCACATGGCCGGCCTGCTCTAGACCAATTCTTCGACCACATCAATTCCATACACCCAGCCATCAGATTTACCATGGAAGTCGAAATAGATGGCAAGATACCTTTTTTGGATGTCCTAATTAAAAAGAGACCTGATGGTTCAATGAGCCACTCTGTCTACAGGAAAGCTACCCATACGGATGCTTATCTGAAACCGGATTCCCACCACCATCCATCACAGAAGAATTCTCTCATCAAGACTCTGTATCATAGAGCCCAATGCATATCCGACCAGGAACACATAAGCAGTGAACTCAAGCACGTACACCAAGCTCTTAGGGCTAATGGTTACTCCGACTATACAATCCGCAAAGCTATCACTCAAACCATGAAGAAGAACCCTCTTGAGGAGCCTTTCAAAACCATCACTTTACCCTACATTGCTGGGATCACAAAAAAGATCTCCAAAATCTTGAATAAACACAAGATCCAGGTCCGTTTCAACACATTACATAAAATCCGTGATCTGGTTCCGTCTGTAAAAGATGTGATTCCGGACATACAATACCCTGGTGTCTACAAACTAAGTTGCCTCTGTGGTAGTAGTTACATTGGAGAAACCAAACGCCATGTCTCGGACCGCATTCGTGAACACAAAGCAGACCTTAAACACGGTAGGACCAACACCTCAGCCGTAGCAGATCATTGTTTTAATTCAGTAGGCTCACATGCCATTGACTTTTCCAAGACAGAGGTTTTTTGTAAGCCATCTGGCTTCCATGAGAGATTCGTTCATGAGGCTATCCACATATACAAGCACAGAGACAATTTCAACCGAGAAGATGGATTCTATCTTAGCAATCATTGGAAAGATTTGATAAACCATTTCAGTTCTTAATTGATTGTTCACGCTTACAGTGGCTTTCAGACAGCATACATTATAAAAAAATTAGTCTCCCCCCTCCTCTTTTCAAAATATAGATGGACTAGTCTTGGGCAAACTGCCAAATCGCTGCGCGTGACGCTAACGTTGTTTTAAATAAATAAATAAATGCGCCGTTTAAAAATAAATTTATGCAAACCAACACACCTGAAGATGACCGTTTGAGTTATGGTCGAAACGTCGTGAGAATTTTTTTTCTTGTTTTATATATATTTTATTATTTTGTTGTTTCTCTTCAACGTGACTTTACCGAAAAAACTAAGAATATAACTGTTTTACACATAGGCTTTCGCGACCAAAAAACCCCTATATTATGGATTAATAACTGTGTTTTGTACATTCACTTATTTTAGGGTGATTCTTGCATACAAATAATAAATTGATAGCCCTTGTTTGGACCATACTTAACCACGGTGGTCAGCGGAGGTCGAGGAAGTGAAGTTTAGTTATGGATAGGGAATCAAACTTTTATAGCCAAGTTCACAGTACAGTGTGCTAACCACTCCATCACTTTCACCCCTTTGTGTTATATAACAATATACACTGTCATATGTGGGGATGTTGTGGTGGCGAGATGTTAACTACCTCACCTGGTATACAGAAAGCCGTGGGTTCGATCCCGACCCTGACGCTTGCTATATATTTAGAGTTTGCATGGTCCCTCTTTGGTCACGTGGATTTTTCTCCGGGTCATCCGGGTTTCCCCTCCACATTTATAAATATGCGTTTCGAGTATTTGGCTGCTATGCATTTCCACGTGATAAGCCAATTCACTGAGCTATCATTTGTGGTCAGGCCGCTTCTGAAAAAGAGCTAAATAGCTCAGTGGGCATTACCCGGTAAAATAAAGAATATAATAGTTTAGTTATATTAAATATATTTGCACGTGCATATGTAAAAGAGTACACTCGACACATATAATACAAATAGAATGCTAACATTCGCACACATTTAGTTAAATGTGC